GAGTTAAAATTGAAAGCTGGAGTGCCGTTTGGTTGGTAGTGTTGTTATATGTCCTAAATGCCTGCCATTTGAGCACCAACCTATTCTTTACTGACTGAAAACTTTTTTTATAGAACAGGGTAACAAACGAGCACACAGTTCACCTAACCGTAAGTGCATGCTGTGGCACATAGACATCTACATTTATCCTAAATTAAGAACCAAAATGCAGTTACGTTATCACCCCTGAGGAGTATAGTATCACCTAAGAGGAATGCCTCGTTTCTCGTAAAATAGGCTTCCGTTTACGAAACACAGCAGCATCAAGCTGCTATTTCACGCTGGTAATGTGAGGGCGTTGTCGTATCCGGGTCGAGCCGGCTCATTCGTGCTGCAGCTATAAAATACAGGGTTATTTTGCAATGAAAGGCCAAATTTGCGGAGAAGGTTCAGAATAAGTAATATATAGGCAAATGGTGAACAAAAATTCATCAAAAATATCACAAACATTCTGCCCTTTTTATATTTTAAATTCAAAATGCGTGGTAATGCTGATTTTACAGCGCAGGCAAATATTGATGAGGGTTGATCGGTAGGCAAAAACGTTGTTGTCCACAAATAATATTCGATATGGGATAATTTCAAATAAAAGTATTAGTATTAGCAAAGTATCTTATTTAGTCGTATTTTCAAAAACTGCAATAACAGTATATCGTTTATATATTTGCACTTAAGATTAAAATGTGGCTACTCTTTGAAAAATAACACTATATATCTGCATCCTGCAGAGTGGCTCTAACACGTATATAACTCTTTAGCCGCTCAAAAACAGAAAATCTGAAAACAATAGCGTTAATAGCCGTAAAAGCATTCCGGGAGGTTTTACAGGACATTTATTTTAAAATGTTGTTCATGCGCTGTCACGGACTATATATCTAAACATGGTCTCCGGTTTTCTACACTCACCAATTGAAATACAGCAGCATTATGCTGTAATTTTCTCTGATATTCTGAGAGAGCATGGTCCTTCCCCGGTTGAGCAGACCCATTCGTGCTACAACCGTAATATAGCTGCAGCGTAACTCCACCACGTAAACTCACGTGGATCTAAACCAATAAATTTTCTTATATTTTTTTTCATGGAAGTAAAAGTTAAAACCAGCACACTGGCTATCTGATGGTAATTGAATGCTAAATGGACAAAGATAGGGGGGGGGTTTTTTTTTTTTTTTTATATATATATATATATATATATATATATATATATAATGAGGAAAACAGCATTTTACGCTGGTGTTCTGTTCGCAAAATAACGTCTTATTCTAGTATTTGCTTCGATTTAAATAGATAGCAGTTAAATATTACAAATAGTTATTTCAGAACTGTTATAAATAATCTATAGACGTTTCGAGGTCTTCTGTTCAATTTTTAAGTACCTACCATCACTTCCTCTATACCTATGAGATAAAATCTAATAATAGGTTCTCGGGTGCCACAACACTGAGAAACCTTAATTTACGTATAAAAAAGTAAAAACTGCAACAGCCTTAAGCTTACCACAGCCCGGCACAAGCCTCCCAGACACGCCGGTTCCCTCGAGGTTGTTCAGTAATTATGATTAAGCCCAGGCAAGAAAGGAATAGCCAATTCAGCAATTAAAATTTGAATAACCAATTGTTACCGCTGCCGCGGCGCAGCGAGGCAAATTCGGGTTGCTCGATAAGAGTAAAAGGCGATCGTATGAATGGAGGAGCGATTTTTGATAATATATAAACGCAGACACTTCTTTCATTTAGTAAGAAATAGCTGATTTTGTACTTTTAATCATGGAATTTGTAGTACAATTATTCAAAAGTTACAGGATGTAAAAGGTCATTCCTCAATTAAAGCTTTCACAACTTTTTCTGCTAACAAAGCTGGGCCACTTTAGAATAAAATTACAAATTTGATAGCGGGAAAATTGTTAAAACGTGTAAAAATTTAGGTTTCTTTCTGAAATATTACTTATATTTTATATTAATTAGATTAAAAACGGAATAACCAAACAAAGCATATTTTTTTAAGAAGAAAAATTAAAAAGAGGGTTAAAAATTTGCAAAAAACCTAAACGCCCCTGAGTTATTGTTTTGACATGTTTAAGAACATACATTTGAAGAAACCGAAAGAAGTATTTTAGACGCAACTTTTCATTGATGAATGATGATAATGTATGACGAACTCTGACCTCTATATATATACAGCGTACTTGTTTATGTAGAGGTCAGTGGTGACGAATAATTTCAGTAGCGATATCTGGTTAGTGGAAGTTTATTAGACCAAAATCAAATGTTTGAATTGAGGAACCACTTTGAATTGATAGAGATTATAATAAAACACTACTAATAATCATATTTAAATTTAAAAAAAATTCATCACCTCTTTTCTAGTTTTAAGTGGAGCAGCCACTTTAAAGATCTTGTAACTTTTAAACTGTTACTATAAACTCCGCGATAAAGTTTTGAAATCGGCTAATTTACTACCAAATTATAAAAGTAGTATCAGTGTGAATATCAAAACTAGACCCTCAATTCATTTGGATGCCTTTTTTACTTTCATTGGAATCCAGCAACAAATACGTTCACGGCAAATTTCCCTCCTGAGAAGTCTTTATCTCTATATGAAGAGAAAATCAATCAAAGAATCTATTTTCTCACTTAGACTCATCTTTATATTTCTTATAATGTGCATAAACTAAAGCTAATGCGCTTATCGTGACAAATTCTGCTCCATTGACTGCGTAATTATGTCAGTAAGCAAATGCATCGTGAAATATGCTTATAAATAGTTGTATATTTCGATCAAGAAAGAGAGAAACAGAGAGAAATTTTCTGTAAAAAATAAAGAGGACAAAAGAGCACACTACAAAACAACTGGCTTCTCTTAATCTCAGGGAATTATTTACATGCTAATAAGATATAAATAAACATTTTGAAATTTTCGTCTGTCTGTATGTCCAAGCTAAACTTCGGAATTGTTGAACCGATTGTGATGAAGATTAACGAGCAGATAGAGAATTATGACTTCAATGCTACATTTGGGCTACAATCTAGGCTACATTTGATTCGAAAAACTTTTTTTTTTGGATAAAGAAACAGAAATTGAAAAGTAAACGATCTTTAGGCGTAGCCGGGGCAGGTTGCCAGTCATAAATTATTTTACTACTGGGCCAATTTTCGGATAGTCACTTTCTTATAATCTATTTATTCAGCTATGCACTAGTGCAACCACTATTGTTTCTGATTTTAAGAGGTCACGGCACAATGTAGTATAATACACTACATCGTAGCATGATCTCTAGCTGTACTAGGAATAGTTTGAACGAAAAAAAATATTTATACCCAAATTGAGAACCTCCTCCTTTTTTGAAGTCGGTTAATAAACTGAGGGCATTTCATCTTAGACCTTAGGACTTACAACGCATCTGCATTTTAATTCTTAATTGAGGATAAATGTAGTACTCAATGGACTACCCATCTACTTACTATCAGGTGAATTGTGTGTTTGTTTGTCACCCTTATATGTGTGTATGTGTACACCCCAAAAATTTAGTATAATTACAAACTGCGAGGCATTTGTTACATCACAGTCCTAAGGAGGCACACAGCATTATTTGAAGTTGTATCTAGGTGTCCAAAGGATACCTACTATAAGGTGGGCTGTTACCTTGTGTGTTATTGTAAAGTTATACAAACCTTTAATACCTGACGTCACGAGGCTATTACATTTTTTCTTCTCCTTCATCACATCCACGGCCCAATACCGACTTAAAAATTATGATCGGACTACCAGACGTTTTACACTTGTGTTGCTGCTTTCCATAGTGTTTTTATAAATAAAATTGAAATAACTGACAAACGTATAGTCCGTCTGATGATAAGTGACAACTGCATCTCATGGACACCTGCAAGTTAAGGAAGCTACTGCTGCGTTTTCACCTTCCAAGCCAAAGATGGAATGTCCATCAAGAGGACCATGTTTGAGGTCGTGCTCAATTGAATATTCGCAAATATGGTCGTCTTCCCTTTAATATGGAAGAGGAGAGCTATGGCTGCCACATGCGTCATTCTTGCGAACAGGTGCAGGTGATTCTAGTATGCACTGTTGATCCTTCTCCCTCCTCATGTTGTCTCAGTTTTATATATTTTGCTTCGTATTATTAACCACAATCTATCATTATTTAATGAAAGTAAAAATAAACTACATAAACTAAACACAATTAATTTAATATAAATATGCAATCCGCTTTACAACTTTTAATTTTTTATTAAAGATATAACAAGTTCAATGTAACAATTGGAATTTAAATAGGTACACTAAAATTTTCATCTTTATTTCTTCACCGTTAGGGATGGATATTTTTTACTTTAAATTCATAGGAAAAACACCTTTTTAACACCCTATTTAACAAAAAAAAAATAATTTAAATCAATACTAATAAAAAAAAACATACACGTCAAATATAAAATCTTCTCGTGTTTGAATTCGTTAAAGATGAAAAATATGGGGACACCGGATTTATTTTTGCCGTTTCATATCTAGTCAGAGAAACCTCATTTCAAAATGGTATATTTGGATGAACATAACACTTGACAAACTGAATTTTAATTTAATACGTCAAAGAATCTTTAATTACATTATCTTTGCATGAACTGCTGCTTGGCGTCAGAAATAATTAAAAGGGTGGTTGGTGCCTACTAATCTTCCAAATAATGTTTACAAGTTGGCACACTTATGAAAAGTGTTAAGTTTTATTTAAACGGGTGTGTTCGTGTATTATACTTTTTACACTTTGGTCGAACAATTGAGTTTTGATTTTGAATTGTATTGACATTGGAAGTAAAACGTCGTGATTTTATACTCTTTGATAACAAGTTTCAAATTATGTCAATGTCAAATTTGTAAACATAGTAAACCATATTGGTATTATAAATTTATCTGTAGTTTATCTCCTATGTTAGGAAAATATATTCATTATAGGAAACATGGCTATGGCTGAAAAGAAAAACGAATATCCTCCGGGAGTGGAGGCCGACAGACGACTATTACCATTCGAAACATGGGAGGATTATTTAGATTCACTTATAGAAATTGCTGATTTACGAAATCTCAGGAGCATTGCATCCGCTCGAATTATTGCTGCACTCGGTTATAGGTATTATTTACAAAAGTTATATTATAATTTTTTTTATTTAAATTCGACCGGCTGTAAATGTTACAAGGCTAAGTGCGCATTCATTTTTCATTAAAAATTAACAAATGCGAAATAATAATATAAATTATTTAAATAAATTTTAAGCAACCGAAGTTAACTTAATAATAATTTCTGCAACTGATTTTACAGAGCCACAGGTGATACTCTATCTGAAAAGGAATTTTACGCTAGACGCGCTGTTATTCACAACATTGTGTACCCGGTAATAAGGCCATATGTTCTCGTGAGCGAAGGAGCTGATTTAGAAGACCCGTTTAAAAGGGAAATGGCGATAAGGGAACGTGCGAACAGAATTGGCATATTGCAGGTGCGAAGGAAATAATATGATATTACGATAGTACGCTTTCCTGTGCATATAATGTTTTGATACTTAGAAACTTATCTCAAATACATTTGTGCTAAATGTTTCACTATCGAAAATATAAAACACGACCGTGATTATTACAAATTGGGTTTTAGAAGAGATAGACTATAATCACTAACTTAAAAAAAGAAGGAGGAACTCAATGCGAGTGTATTTTTGAATGTATTACCTGAGAACTTTTTTCAAGGAGAACCCATTTTGGTGATTATGACTTCGACTACATTCGTTTAAAAGTCGGTTGTGCAACATTTTTAATTTTACCACTGTTTGTTTTTGTAAAGCGTACTTTCAGTCGCACAAAGTATTAACAGTCCAGTGTATATTAAAGGTTGTAAAATAATTACGTTCATTGTACCATGAAACCTAACTTATTTAATATTTAAACATGAATGCATCATTATTGTGATATTAATTCATCAATTACACTAGAATGGCTAAACGTATTCGAATGTAATTCAACATATGAGATAATGTCGTTGAGTTGGCTATAGCGCACTTTTTATAACAATTAATAAATACCTACATATTTACCAACTCAAATCCTCAAGCCAGCGATAAAATGTCATTTGAATCTGAATGAGAGTGAAATATATTCAACAAAAGCAAAAATTATTTAGTGAATAACCTTTAGAAGCCAAGATTTAAAGAAACTGTACCTATCTTAGCATTTCGAATGTCACCTCGATATTCCCAATGATGCCGAAACATTTCGAGGGCCCGCATGGAATTCAGGAAACTGCCGACACAGCATCCATAATTTTTCCGCTGCATTGTTTTTTAGGAATGATCATTATCAATAAAATGTCAACTACAATGACACAATATAAAGTAAAGAGTGCCGTGCCGGCAGAGGGTGACGGACGAAACCTAGAGTACATATGATTTAACAGTCTGGAATTGATATGTGTGTATTAGTATAAGTGAGGTCTACGTGTGGAAAAGTTCCTAAAGGAACTTTATCCGCGACTGGTCGTCACTGCTGGTGATAAGAGGGTTGGTTCTTTTCGTTGTTGGTTCGTTCTCGCACACAAGCTAAGTATAGCCATTCAGCGAGGAAACGCAGCCAGCGTCCTTGGCACGATACTGCGGGGAGTATGACTATAATTTTAGTATTTCATATTGTGTTCAAGCCATCGATATTGTCGCTTGCTATATAACCATAACATCATAAATTAAAAGCTCAGTGATTATTGGTAACTAAGGGGCTTTAATTATCTACTTCAGGTACCAACGATCCACAACCATTTTTGTCATAGCTAACAAGTTTGTGTTAAGAAATTTTTATGATTTTGTGGTGAGAAATAAATAAATTTTCAATTTCAATGATACTGCTTGCCAGTAAAGTCTTATAGTAAGTAATATATAATAGTCTATACAATATGTAAGGTCATTTATCTCCAAATTAACTGCATAATGTCATTGTTGGCCAGGTACAATAATAGTTGTTTCATTTTATTATATTTGCAGTCAATTATTTTCGTACGTCATTTTACGAAAAGCGGTTTTGAAATATCTGGATATATTGATTACGCCCATCGTTTGATTACCGAAGATTGGGGGCCGTTTTTTAAAACAAAAAGAATGCTTTGGCCCAAGGATAGTGACCTTGGTTATTACCATTGGCGACATGGAACGGTGAGGAGCAATATCAGCCGCAATTATCAGGTACATGATTAGCAATAGAAGATCAATAATTTAAATCTTGTTAATCTACTTCCTCGTATCATAACGTGAAAACTGAAACACGAGACCGGCAGGAGCATCATACAGATAAAAACAACTAAACAACTGTGGTTTACTGCCCACCTATCAAGCGTGGCAAATATGTCAAATAAGTATAGATGCTAAGAAATCCCCTTAGATGCAATCTTAAGCGAGGCTAATGTTTAGCTGTGGACTTTTGATGAGCTGCTATGTAAGTGAAATAAGAAGAAATAATAATATTAAAGTAATGATCTCTTTTACACTGTAAGAACTGAACTGTATTTTCAATATTTAGTAAATACAACCTGGTGGGTAGAACTTAAAAATTCTGGTGACGGTGTAAGATAATTCTTCACCCCATTTTACCTCATGAATGTCATAAAGTGGCAATGCCTGAAATATCTTTGTAGCTACGGATAGATGGCGGTATAATAATTTTTGTCAGTCTTAAAAAAAACAATGATGCTAAAAAGTGTCCAGGGTGAAAGTGATTTGGTAGTGTAATCGTCAATCCGTCTGTTGTTTCTAAGACGGGAAAATCAACGTCGAGTACTGAAGTTTTAGAGACAGAAGAAGTTTGACTTCGGTCAAAAAAAGTCTTTCAAAGTTCGTTGAACTCTTGTGTATAGCGATTCCCACGATAAGGGCGCAAAGAAAATTTAATAATATTCGACAACAGATCGGAGTTTCTACTCACTGCATATAAACTAATTTAAATTGGACATTGACTTTGTGGTTTTATTACTACTATATTTGATTTTAGCCTTTAATGGATCCTGATGATGGATTATTGTTTCAAAATCGTCACGATCATAAAATAATTTTTCCGAATCCCGAACAAAATCCCGGACAAAATACTACAAAGAAACGTGTGTACTCTCCTATGTACATTCAAGTCGAAATTTATGATCATGTGGTGAGGAAAAAGACATAAACAACAATTCACTCTGATTGAAACTGGAAAGTAACAAATAATATATCTTTACTGCATTTTATGAAATTAGTGACGGATCTAGGTTTTTTAAAATTATTTTCGCAATAATCAATAAAACATACCAAAAAAATTAAATTTGTCTTTTTACTTAAACATTGTAAAAACTCCTTTTATAATAATGATAAATATATTTTGATAATGTTTAAAGTGTTGTAACAATATTAAGCAGTTGCACTTAATTTTAAAACTAAAACTTATTAGGCACGTAATACAATTTTGCGCTTGCAAATATTTTTTTTGCTTATTATAAGTTAGTGCTTAACTATAATCCAACCTGTTGAAGCTTTAGATGATAAATCGCACTATGTCAGCGTAATATAAGCTTATAAATAGAAAAGCCTATTTCAAAGAAAAATGCTGGCAAATTATTTATCTTTTTCTTGCTGGAGACATTCCGAAGGCTACGGAAGCATCCTGAGAAAGCATTCCAGATTCTGCAAAATGGTATCTAAAATATTACTGCAGCGATTTTTTTTTCTTGATATATTTTTAGATGACTATTCACCTAAAAATGCCTTCCCATGCCATAACGTCAGTAGCCGCCACGCCTTTAAGGCCATATAAAATATCCATGTCGTTGATTTGTAGACAAACTGATCAGTTTATTTCATTCCGTATTAGTAGTTACAGCAATTCTAATTAAAGCTTAGATTTCAACATTAAAATTTAACTAGGTCTCTTTTTGTGTCAAAGAGTATAGACATATGTTGCATTATTTATCATAAATTATATAATTATATTATTAATTATAATGAAAAAATACTGTAACATCGTAGATAGCTATTTCAATAAACGTTAATTGAGTGTAATTAAATGCTTTGGAGTGAACACATATCTTAACAATATTTTTTAATCAAAAACTTACTATTAAAACTTAACTATTGTATTCTAATATTTGAAAAATAAAACAACGGTGATAAACTTTTCAACTTTAATAAATAAATTGTAACCGCAAATTAACCGGTAAATACTCATCGAAAGAACAAAACTCTACTAATACTTAAAATACTATAATACTCGTAACTAAATGTTAAATTAATTCATAAAGTCACACCTATATTTTTCAGCGTAATCATTTACTATAACTGAATATAACTTCCATCTATAAAATGTTAATAATTAACAATTAATAAAATGTAATTATTATGTCTAGTTACTAGGTATCGACTCAAGTCGCTTTCGTTTTGCTGTTTCTCGTGATGTACTGTGTATTACCGATCGGCGAAGTGTAATGCCGAAGATATCCTCATGATACCTATTCTCATCCTGCAAAGAAAACTTTGAATTACGTAATAATTATATGATGATGATTAATATAAATATATGAATCTACGTCTTTCATTAAATATAATATAAAATATTACATTGAATATCGTTATTTCATTCAGTTTTTTTTTTAAATAAGAGTCCAGAGGCACGGCCATTTAATATTTCCTGTGATATATTTGAGGTTTCTTATTATTTATTTAAGTTATTAAATGTAATATATTATTCTCGAGGGAAATGGTAAATTGTCATGTTCCTAAATAATTTCCATATGTAAAATCTATTACCATTAACTCTAAAATGAAGTCTTCAGCCTCATCTTCTGCCATGTTCGCATGAGTATTTATTATTTGTTTTAATTTCTGTTTCACTTCTTCGGCCATTTTACAATCACCACACACATAAATATGACCTCTCTCTTCTAAAATCATGTGCGTAATATTTGCGCCTTCATCCTCCAGAAGAGCTTGCACGTGTTTCTGTAGAAAAGATTTCATTGTTACGGCATGAAGTGAAATTAAAGATCTTGCTGAAATTTAAATTTACCTTATTTATTCCCTCTTCCCTTGAAAGTGCTAACATTACTTTGCTAAGAATTCCGTTAGCTAAAGCTTCTTCTTTTTCTTCTTTGTATAAATCCATACTTTTGTAACGACAACCAAAAAATAACCAAATCGGCCCCGTCTTCGTTACCTTTGAATCCATTATTTGACATTTTCTATGATGCCAGAAACCTCTAAATGGAGCAATGCCCGACCCAGGTCCGACCAAAATAAGGGGTACTGATATGTCTTGAGGCAAATGGAAGTTTGGTGCGCTGCGAAAAAATATGTATTTGATTGTAGAAATTAGTTCACATATTTATATTCATGATATATTTGACTTACTGTCGTATAAAAACTGTAACTTCATCGCCTGGTTTTAGACTCTGCAGGTACGTAGAGCAAACGCCATAATGTGTTGATCCTTGTCCACCTTAAACCACAAGCCTTCTAATTGACATTTTGTCGAAACTTAATTTTAATTAAGTGTAAATCTGAACATACCTTGTGTTTTGTAAATAACAACAGCTACAGTTACATGAATTCTTTGAGTATGTGCTAAGGGTGACGATGAAATGGAGTAAAATCTTGGCTGCAAATGAGGAAGTAACATTGCAAGTAAGGATGCTTGCGGTTTACATGAAGGTATAAGATCAAGTACTTCTGCCAAATGTGGATAATGGTAATGCCTCCAGTCGTCATATTTGTTAGATTCCTGGAAAAAATCACATTTCATTAATTAAATCATATATCTATAGTTTCACAAGTAAGTGGAATGCATAAGTTTTGTTAAAATATTATCACACATATAACATAAATTACCTCAACTAGTTCATTAATGAAATCAATATCTTTTTTCTCACTACATGATGTTGCTAGGTATTTTAAAACTTTTGTAGATGGCGGTGTAGTTATATCTAAAAATCGTGTAAAAATGTCTCGTACAGAGACTGCTGGCATACGTTCATGTTTCTCCCAATTTTTTATTGCGCCTTAAAGGGAAATAGTATAAAATGTAATATGCTTTTTAACTTTACAATTTAAATTAAATATAAATCAATGTGTTTTACCTGTTGGTGTAAGAGTCTCCTTTAGAACTTGTAGTTGAACAGGCTTATCATAATCATCCACATCCTTTAATCTACTTAATACAGTATCTACAATCTCCTTCCGGTTACAAGCAAGAATACCAACATGGTCGCCCGGTTCATACCTTAATTCACTCTAAAAATTAATAACATTTTAACATACTATGTGTTATTCAATTTGGTTCATCAAAATTTATTTTATTATTTTCGGCTATAAGACTTGCCTGGGACTCCATATCAACAAAAATCGTAGCACGGTCAGCAGTAACATCACCTAAATGTTTATTTTCTTTTACAATACATGTCAATAACTGCTTTCTAAATCCTGTTTCAAGGGCGCATTTCATGGTCTTGATTTCATCAGGTTTTCCAAATCTTACTGTGTCTTCACTGAGAGGTACCATACCTAGAGCTTTTTTACCATCTTTTACCATTTCATTTTCTTCTAAACAAAATGTATCACAAGCTACCTAAAAATTAAATTCCTTTACAGTACAAATTAATAAAGTCAATGATATTAATAAGTTTATTTGCCTATCGCTCCAACCCTGGGCTTTATTTTTCCTGCCGAGAGATTTCGTCTATTTGGATTTTATTTATTTATATATAACAAAATTGAAACAGAACTGACCAAAACATCATTCAATATAGATTATAAATAATACTTACTAAAATTAAGTCTTTTGTTTAATTACCACTGGTTCGGAAAAAAATCAAATAAAATTATTGCATAGAGTACTAGTTGATACCCGGTCGTTTCGCTGGGCGCATGACAATATTTTATTGCGAAACCTAGATGTAAAATATCAAGATTTTTTTGTTGGGACTATCGTTAAATCCGTTCTTAGTGAGCGTCTACATAGTAAAATGAGTAACTAAAAATAAAGACTATATCGTCGGCAAGTCGAAGGTGAGTGAGGTACTCGCCATTGATGTTAATACCGTATTCTTTCCAGTCTAGTAGATTGAAAACATCTTCCAATGCAGCGGTGAAAAGTTTCGGGGATATGAATTCACCCTGTCTTACATTTTTCTGCAGTTGGATAGGTTTCAAACTCTGCTTCTTTACTCGAATAGCCTTCGTAGCCCTACTGTACAAACACTTTAGGACTTCGATATACCGACAGTTAACGTGGCCCGCTGAAGGGACTGTAGCACCGCCAAAATTTCGACGGAATCAAAGACTTTCTCATAATCCACATACGCCAGACAAAGTGGCAGATTTTACTCTTCGGTATTCTGTACAATCTGCTGCAGGGTATGTATGTGGTCTATGGTATTGAAGCCTTTTCGGAAACTTGTTCGGGAGGCTGGAAGTCGTTGAGTCTGAGTGAGAGACGAATCTTAATGACTCTCTAAAACAGCACGTAGACGCGGTTCAAAAGGAAAATCGGTCTGTAGTTCTTAAAGAAAGCGTTGTCGCCCTTTAAGAACATGACCACTGCATTTCTGGTCCACGCCTCCGGAGTAATGGCACCGTGGAGGACAGAACTGAAGTGCTTCTGATGGACTTTAAGTATCGGTTTGCCATCCGATTTCAGAAGCTTCGCTGTAATTTCATCCTTGCCTGGGGACTTGCTATTCTTAAAGTGCTGAAGAGCTATTCTAATCTCGCTCAGACTAATGTCCGAAATATCATAGGAATAGCGTCGGATACGACTTGCTCTTGGACCATTACTCACACTTGCGTGTGGCTCCAACTAAGATGTGTACAGTTGCCCATAGAAGCTCTTAATCTCACTCAAAATCTCAGTTGTTCCGGAAACGATGCTGTTACACTAATTTTTCAGCTTTGACAGTTTGCTCTTTCTGGCAGACAGATCTCTGGCAAGACTTTGGAGCCTTGGTTACGCTTGATCGCTTCCTCAATACGAGCAGTATTAAAGTTGCGTAAGTCCCGCCGCATGCATTTGGAGATCTGTCTGTTTAGTTGCTGTATGCTATCAAATCTATTGAAGACTACAGATTTATTTCCCGTCTAACAACCATGAGATTAAGCGTGTGATTGGAGAGTTTTTACGTTCATCTGTGGCGGGTCTTGCACAACTAAGCTCCGACCACATGGACAGTTTCCACAAGCTTGTCATTCATATCGTTCACTGTATTGCAGTCTTCTAGGCACTGAGAACGGTTTTGTAACTCGAACTGAAAGGTTTTAGGAGTATGGATTAGAGCACGAGGTGGACTGGGCTTTGACTTCATTAGACAAGATCTCTCCAACTTAACGTTTAGGTTCAGTAAGCTTCTAACTCTAACCATTCGGTGATCGCTGCCAGTTTTCACCCTTGCGATCACTGAGGCATCATTGAACAGTTGCCGTCTAGTCGTCATAATAAAGTCAATTTTTGTTGAACCGGCAGGGCTCGACCAGTTCTGGCCCGATTAAGAAAAATATAGAGAAAATATGAAAACTCTAACCATAAAACACTGTAAAAACCAGACTAAGTCATGGAGTAAAGAATTTTGGTTTTGAACCAGACGTAAATATTACAAAAATGTTGTAAAATAATAATAACATAAATAACTTACTTGAAATATATTAGAAGACCAGTTACGAAATTTCTGCTCCTGTCCGCACATTTCGTCTCCACAAGCTACTTCAAGAAGTCTTTCGCCTCCTAAGTCTTCAAGTACTTTATCTATGGCCTTTCCAAAATTGCAGAACTTTGGGTACGCACTAGACCCAAGTGCGAAAACCGCGTAACAAACATTACTTAACGGTCCTATATTTTCTATTGATGATGTCCCTGCTACACTACCTGTGAATAAATATTACAGTTTACCAAGACCTATGGTGAGCATTTCAACTGTTCATATTGTGTTTAATAAACTTACTCTTATTGGACTCCAATCGTGACAGCTGCTTTTTATACACATGATCATTATTTGAAGTCACCATACTGTTTGTTCTCATCAAAGCTTTTGGAGTTGGAATCTTGAAGTTTCTGTAAGGAGTATATTTTGAATTAAAAAATATATACAAACGTCTTTACTTTACATCAATTTCTTACTATACAATATTCTTACGACTCTGCAGATAATATATACAATACTAACCCCGTAATATCCCCTGTTTGATCACCTTGGTTCTTTTTTTCATTGTAAAGCATCTGAAAAAGATGTTCAGCAAATTCCTGAAAACATATAGAAATTTTTTAATACTCGTATAATCTAAACGGAAACAATTTCAGTGTTTAAAAAAATGTAATCCTTTTGGCCTCTAACAACAGTAAAATCAGTAGGTACCGATTTTAAAATGTTAAAATATGAAAACAACGAGAATTTCTTGAATTTTAAGAAATATAAAGGTACTTACAACGCCATTCGCAGGCGGTTCTCCGTTGCCAAAGGTGGAAGTTACGATCAACAGGAGCGTTTCATGTTCTATTGAGAACATATCGTATTCTGACATGCAATGTACCTTTAAAAAAACAGTCTTATTTAAAAACTAATATTATATTATTATTACTCATTTTAAAAATATTTTAATAATGAATGCGGTGGATCTAGTAGTCATCAAAGCGACTCCTGATCTTGTGGTCCCGGGTTTGATTTGGACTGGCAGAGTTTCACCTTCAGTTTTCGGAAAGCACGTATAGACTAAATGTCCTGCGCCTGATTCGTGCACTTGATCAGCCGTGACGGATTGCCGTCCCATAGAAATGAAATGAAATGAATGATTTTATTCAACATAGATTATTATATAATACTTATTGAAAGTAATTTTTTAATTTACCACTGGTTCGCAAAAAAAAAAACCTCTGTCCTGGGAAGAACCAGCAAGAAACCCAGCGGGAATTTTTCCAACATATTTAAATTCACAAGAAATTTATTTTATTACAATTTTTGAATGATTTTTTATAGGACCAGCATGGTGGCGATCACCTCATTCCCAGGGGTTATTTTCATTTATGTATTCATTTATATTATAATAACCCTTTTTGTAAAATTTTTCTTTAATAAAACATTTAAACTTGTTTAATGACAAATTTTGTACATAAGTACTTATAGAACGTACGTACATTTTCTACATATAGAACAGATCAAGTAGATAAAGCACCAGTGTTTGCGCACACACTCGTGCACTGGAATCCTGTCCTGCGCGGATGGCTAGTGGCTTTATTCAGTATGAAGGATGGTATTCATCAGAAATATTATGAATATGTTTATTATTGATTATAATAATGAATGAGCCAACATTTTATTAAGGTATGTTAAAAATACCTGTGCATTAAATGCGTGTCCAAATATAATTCCTAATTCTTTAGCGTATTGTTCAGATTTTCCCGTTTCTGTAGCATACAAAATAGTCGCTTTTATTCGTTTAGAAAGAGCTTGGCCAAAAAGTTTCGAAGTGAACTTTACAGCTCGGCCTACTTGCTTGAAGTGGAACTTTCTGTGTCCATTGCTCTTGTTTTCGGACTTCGACCACCGATGTGTTTTCCACGCAGGCTCCTGTTGATACGAATGATTTAAAATTGCAAATACGCAACGATTAATCTGTATTTTTTTCGAGTTTCATTTATTAAAATTGTAAGTTTTCAGTGTTCCTAAAACTAATTGAAATATTATAATTTATATATTTGTATTATTCGGTACCATATCCGCGGTTGACTCCCGACGTTGGAAACAAGAGCGTTGGTTTTTTTCTCGCCTAAAAGTACCCTTCCACTGTACTCGTATAAGTATAGCCATTTAGCGAGGAAATACAGATAACGTTCTTGGCACTTCGCCAAGGAATAAAGACTGTCAACATTTTAGTTTACATTTTCTTTTATTTGTAAAAAAAATAATTTGTTGTATTTTGTTATCATAACATCATTACAGCCCTTAACAAGTTTACTGCTGAACGTAGTTATCCCCAAGAAATAGTACTAAGCACAGTCCTGAACCACCTGCATCCATCGACTCCCTGTAAGACATACAGGTATTATTTTATGTATAATTCAATTTAGATAACTGACTTTTAGATGATTTCTTTGTACGCATTCAAAATAATGCAGTGAAATTTATAACCGAATGAATGCCTTTTTGAGTGAGTAGGAAGAGTTCTTTCGACCTTTTTAATATTAAATAAATATAACCATTGCGTTAAGAAAGTAGCTAGTTGCTGGCGTCTATATACGATACCATTATTGGAGATATATTATTTACTGATATATATTTTTTAATTAAATTCCTCAAATACTCCACGTAGACCTTACTTCATAATTTCAAACCGTGAGTGTGTAAAGATGACAGAAGGAAATGAAACATGTGTTGGTCAGCAAAATCTTCCTGATAACAACACTCATATAAAATAATGAAAACTCCAGTTGACAACGCGCCTGCTAAGCGTGGCGAATATGGCAATCTTCGCAGGAAGCCTATATTAAGCAGTGGAATTTTAAAAGGCTGTAATGAATGAATGTACTGCACGTCACTCGATATGTCAGCGTCGACATATCGAGTGACGTGCAGTTTTGTGGTCACTTGGAAGAGAAGACCAAATTGGCCTCTAAAAAAGCTTGGCGTGCTCAGCAGAGCGGGACAGTATTTCATGCCGGCACACCGCCTGCAACTAAAGGCGCAGGTTGGCCGCAAGGACGATCTCTGTGCTGGGGCTCCCCAGTACCAGCTCCTTCCACTTGACCGCATCCAGCGCAGAGCGGCTCGATTCGTCGACGACCGAGTGCTTTGAGTGCTGCGAAGAGATGTTGCATCTCTTTGCATTTTCTTTCGCAAATACCATGGGGAGTGCTCTGAGGAATTGTTCGGATTACTCCCAGCCGCCAATTTTCGTCAACGCACTACGCGGCAAACGTCCCGATACCATCCACACCATCTGGATGCTTGGCGGTCCACCACTGTACGTTTCAGAAGGAGTTTTCTTCCGCGTATAACCTCTCTGTGGAATAGTTTACCACCGGCGATTTTTCCGGACCAATACGACCTGGGGACCTTCAAGAAAAGAGCTTACTCCTTTACAAACTACTCTACTCTACTATTACTAAAGGGCCGGCAACGCACCTGCAATTCCCCTGGTGTTGCGGTTGATCATGGGCGGCGGTAGTCACTTAACATCAGGTGAGCCGCATGCTCGTTTGCCCCCTCTTCTATAAAAAAATGTACATTGAATAAAATTTTATTGCATTTAATATCCATTTGTTAGTTTTTTATAGTATAAGAATGAGACATCTACATTTATTGAGAGTTTGAGAATCAAATTGCTGATGCGTTGTTACCCCTGAGGACTAAGAAGGAATGCCTCATTTCTGATAAGAACGCTGGTATTCTGTGAAAGCTTGGTCCTTCCCCGGTCGAGCGGACCCATTCACAACCATAGTATAGCTGCAGCATGGTTTCATTATATTTTTGTTTAGCGGTCTATGTTTATTGAATTAATTTTTTTTATTTACTTTGAAACTGTAGACTATTATTTATTAAATTATTTTGTTAACAAAATGCGTTTATTTTGAAAATTCTCACAAAAGTGCTGTTTTTGTTGTAAATAATATAGTACCTGGAAAGTATTTTTTATTATATACCTGATAGTCATAAGAGGGTCTTAAGTAATACAAGGCCATTTCTTGGTGAAACACTGAAGTCAGCGAAGAAGACATCGGTGGGACTATCCAGATCCAATCAGCTGGACAGCCGCCTCTGTGTATAATTTCAGAAATTTTACATTACGAGTTTTTATCATTTCAACATAAGAAAAACGAGTACACAGTCTAGTCAGTTGATGGTGAGTAACTCCTGAGGAATAAGATACAATGCCTTGCTAAAAAAACAAGATCACCGGTTCTCTACAATCATCATACGAAACCCAGCAGCATTAACCTGCTATTTTCGGTTGATATTCTGTGAAAGCCGACTTATTCGTGCTGCAACCATAACATAGCTGTAGCATGTCTCAACCACGCTTAAATTATATTATATGAAACCAGCAGACGTTGTCCTGCCAGTTAATATTATTGGTTGTATTCTGCAACGAATGATAGCAGCAGTTTTTATTTTATTTAAGCGCATGCAATTTAATTTATTAATTTCCACGCTTGGTAAAAAGCAAATTAAATCAAAAATTTTAATTTTGTTTGTTTCTAAACTGTTTTTTTCAAAATTTTTAAAATTTTTTAGTTCATAAATATAATAAATAGGAGGTTTACTCCTCCATTGAAAAATACATTTATAAAATAAAAATACATTTAAAAAAGAAAATATACCAATTTTCATGGTGATCGATCAAATAGATTTTGTGTTAAATGATTTCATATTGTACAAACATCCTTTTTTATATGTATAGAGATACTACGAGGTGGTATGATTTCATCAGGTAGGTACCATGCTCTAAGCTACTTATGCCGCCAAATAGCAGTGCTTCCACTGCTGTTGTGGTCTGACAAGCTGTAATGCACTTCATTTTAGTCCTTAGATGTTACAATGTGTTTAAGGCTTCTTTAATTGATGTCTGTAGCTTTTCATGGACTGCACAAATAATTAATTATCAGGTAGTAAGGTATCACGTTCTTTAGTAACTTGAGATTTATAAAAAGAAAAACTTTTCTATGTCGTGTTGCAAGTCATACTGCTAGAATTGTTAGTTATTCTTTCACTGTTTCGTATAAAGCTAATCATTTTAAAGAAAATTTTACCTGCTCTTATTTTCATTCTCTAGATGTTTTATAAATTGTTCAGAAGCTGAGTGGTGATCAACAATTGACGCATTATCTCTGTGGAAACTATAAAGTACGGCAATGTTGATTTCTACTAGCGCTTGGTCCTTCCACAATGATGCGTATGAGTTTGTGTCGAGGCCCATTTTTAATGCTACAACCTGCAATAAATTTCAAATTTTAAACTACTTGTAAGAATTCTAATAATATTATTGATATTTAAATATTTTATTCCACTTGCTTCAATAATATTAAGCCGATTGACATCACAGAAGTTGCGACAGCCAATTTCTGTACCCATGTACCAACCGTTGAAGGCTGTACCAGTGAATTCTAATCCACCGCAGTCCAATCTCATGTTTGAAACAGCCGGCAAGGCATACCAACGCAATCCGAGGCCTTTAAACCAATCAAAACTGTAAAAAATTAAATAAAATATTATTAGAAATATATCTGTCCTCTTTAAGCCTAATCGGCGCTAGAGTGATGAAGGTCAATATCCTTCTATTGGACAATCTATGGAGGCATATGTTCAGGAGCGGATTTTATTAAATAAAACTATTTTTTAACAGATTTTATCGCATTTAATTTAACTTTTCAGTTCCCGACGTTTCGGGTGCTTTATAGCACCCATGGCCACGAGGGGGACTGAGGTGTTTAACGTCTAGAGACAGTTATCCCGGCTGCCTTCAGTTTTTGATTGATACTGAAAAAAATGTAAAGTATTGTTTTTAATTCTCTATGGAAACACAGGATATTAAATAGCAAGAGATATCGCTAGTAAAGCAAAGAATGGAATAGTTTTAATAAGGTCCTATTACGTAGTTCTTGTTTTGTAAAAAAACATGATAATCTATCAAACACTTTTTCTTTCATATGTATTATAGATACCTATGCTAAAAAGAACACAAAAACTCATTTCAGTGTCTTTAAAAAGTAAAATTTTCGAAACAAAAATTTACAAAATGTTGTCTTGGCTTTTTATATGGAGAGGAGTATAATTAGTTTTATAAACTTCTTCTAGCGTATAATCTTAAAACTTTATTATTATTATAAATAATCTGTGCAGAGCAGCCTGCACTGCACAAACTCGTTTTATGATACAAGTAAAATGTGAAAAATGTATAAAAAACAGCATTATTTTTACTGCATACTTTCAGACAAAATTATAATTAGCAAGGAAAAAATGAGAATTGGGCTTACCGGGGATGTTCTATTTGTACTTCCATTATTATTTCACGTGGAATTTCAAAAACCTCTGGATCTCTACCGTCGGCGGATAAAACCAGTGGTAATATATCCCATGCTGTACGAGGCGACTTCCAGCCAAGTTTGATGCAAACCTAAGAAACGTTTAGAATTTAATTTTCAGATGTCATTAACTTAAACTTGATATCAAATATATGATGTCTTACATTCTCATTTGATCCATCACTGGTTCCTTCACTTATTACAAGTTTACAATATTGTTAATGGCACAGCATTTATAGTCAATGATTTTAAAAAGTGAACAGTTTCATAATATTCAATTTTGTAGTACACAACCTGAGAGTGATGTCGGTCATTATTGAAAACCGTTAAAAGCAATTTTAGGTTTTTAATTTTAAGTTTAATAATGGCTTACCAAATGCTAACGGCCAAAAATAAACCGTAATTAGGATTCAAGCATGTCACAAAAGTATAAATTACGAGATATATGTTTATATTTATAAATGATACGAGGTGGGGTAAAGTTAAGAAATGGAAAAGCGGGAGAGCCAACAAGAGTCAGTGGTGTAATCCGGTATTTGTGTCGGTTAGCTAATTTTTGTTTCCTTTCTTTTACAACCTAAGCAATGCAGTGGAATGAGTGTAGGTATGTCACTACTTTATTAGTTAATTGAGTCTACATACTTCTGTAAATTCAACACGAGCTGGATCCCCCAATATAGAGCCATCTGGTTCAACATAACCCGCGTAGCTGATAAGTTGCGGATTCCAAATCCTGTAGTCATGGTTACCATCTACGCGTTGTGCAAATATTGTTATTGCTGACCTGAAAATAATGTACAGCTGTAATAATAGTGAACAGTGAGATATCGTGGTTCGGCATCCAAAATAAAATATGTAAAGCTTTTAAGCTTTTATAATCGGGACATTAATTTTATGATACACTATCAAATTGTGTGCTTATTGAATATATTTTTAAATAAATTAATATTACTACTCAAAATACCCGTTAGTTACTTTAAGTAGGCTAATAAACTTTTTTTTAAGAGTGGTACAGTAAATAAAGTAGAAGGTAGTAAATGTAGATTCAAATACATGAATATTTGAATCTACAGTTTAAGTTTAAATTTAAAACAATACTCCGTTTATTAAAAATATCCTTAAACCGACTAAAAAAGATAAATAAAATTTCGAACGTAGAGAAGTTTCTTATCAAGAGAATAGCGTAAATTTTACCTTATATTTCCTTTATTTGTGGCGTACTTGATATGATTACAGAGGGCTTCAAACATCCCACTGGCAGTCGTTACCTCTCTACAGTCGAATATCTGTCGAAACATGTAATCATGTTTGTCATTCACTTGTCTGATACTATGTTACATGGTATAATATTATATGAAATATAATATTGTAACTCTTATTATATTTTCGAATAGAGTTTTTAAACGATTTTCTCATTCAAAACCTTACTTTTGTTAGGGCCGATTTTTCAATTGTCAGATGTCAATAGTTATCCCTTTAATTAATTATAAATTGACTGAATATAAAAGAAAAGAATTATTTTACCATTGAAGTAATATGTACTTACGTAGTACTTATTAGCTCAATGTATTTTACTCATAGAACTGCGGCTTTTAATTTTTTATGTTTTATTTTATCCGATGAATAACTTTTATGTGAGAATAGAAAAATCGGCCCTAAATTTATAAATGATTAAAACTTGAATAAATATAACATTAAATGACAATTTGTAATGAAAAAAAAATTAATAAAAATTTTTATCAAGAGAATCCATAATTTAAAAGAAGAAGAAGAAGATTAATAAAGATTTTATAATTTTTCCGCATTCTCATGAGAAATCGGCGAACAGCGCCAAGACCATTGTTCGTCACTTTATGGTAAATGCTCCCAAGCCCACGAATACCGCCAACCGCGATTGCCACATCGCAGTGCTGGAACACGTAGCGGTCTTTAAGCATGAAGGCCATCTTCATGGAATCTCTTTCACATGGTTTGGTCGCTTACCAGTAGTTGCATCGCTGTGATATTGTGTTGTCTTCTGGCGGTCATTTGGAGAAATCGATCCTGTCTCTGCGTAGTAACACAATATCTATCCATGTGCCGTTCAGCCACATCCCCAGTACTGCGATCACCGTCAACCTTGATATCACGTTTTGGCTGGTGTGTAGGGCCTCAGCAACAACGCGTTGCATAGTATCATTTTCTAACATACCCACGGCTCATAACATTTCATCTCGACTCAAATGATGACATGACTCTTAAAGCTCACACGGCACGTTAAATTAAAAAAGAAAAACAATCTAATCCCTTTTCATTAATTAATATCAGTAGAACAATTTTAATTTTCCTTGACGTAAAGAATTACTAACAATTTTACCGCGGTATTTTGGTTTTTCGTTTGTTTTTTTAAGTTACATTTTTAATTTTTGAAAATAGAATAAAAGAGGTTTTAATCCGTATATAAACTTTTTATACAAACTAAAAAGATTTTAAACTATAAAGTCCTAAATCATTTAGGATTAAGGTATCCAAATATGATATCCCAAGATTCTGTTGATGTGTGTATATTACTAATTTAAATTACAACTCTAAAGGCTTCAGCTTAGCTGGGTTCAAGTATCCTCTTAAATATTAAGTAAAATGTACGTAATACTCGTACAACTTTCAATAATTTTTAAGGGTTTTTTACGTTCTACGTAAAAATAAACTTGTGAACAAAAATGATTAAAATCCTTTCTTTTTTTTTAAATTCTTATACAGCATTGATAGCCAGTGTTCCAGTGTTTGTTGCTCTTAAGTATTTTTGCATGGAAAATAATTATTGTATAGTGGAAAATTAATTGCAAATATAGTGACCTATTCTTCAGTAAAGGTATTAAATATTTTATTTTTAATATTTTAACCACGTAGTAAAATTATCATATAAATTAGCATGCCTGTAATTTCTTCCATTGTATTCGGCCAATACACCTTGTTGCGTTACGCCAAGCCAACTTCGCACCAAATACCAATTCTGAAGTTTTTAAATCATAAGTCCCTTTGAATGCCAACTCCTTCTGAACTTCTCTCAGCCTTGCTATGTGTGCGTCAGAGTTTTCTCTGCAAATCGTATTGAATTTAAATAGAAACATTTTAAAGAAACAAAAATAATATTGTGAGATATGTTGATATAAAATACATTCAAGTGCTTTGAAGTATTTGTAGAATTGACATAACTTTGTGTCATCTTTTTGGCTAAGAGCTTCTTTGCCAAGAAAGAGTCACAGAAATTGAACGTTTTAAAAATTTTAATTAACTTTAAATTGCATAGGTTTTCTTTAGTGAATAGATTTTAAGTATTTTTAATTCAGATAAATTGATGGTATCTTTCTCGAATTTTAATTTTGTTATAACAATTAAGTTGCGTAAGTACTCTTTTTAAAAGGCTATTTTTGGCAATTACTAGGAAAACGTTCAGTTTTACTTTCAATGCCCGCAATAGCCTCAATTTATTTTTCATTTATAAACTAGGAACTAAGCCAGCTCAAAGAGTTAATGTCGTTTTACTTAAGTAATCAAAGTTCTTCTAATCGAATAAGGATACCTGTACTGCCTGTTAAAAAAATATTCTAGAATTGATTGTTTTGAAAACTCGACTATTATGTGATTATAATAATTGTCAAATAAAAATAATAATTTAGAGGTCTAATCTTTCAAATTAGAAATTTAGGACGTCGATGGATGCGGGTAGCTCATGATAGTACTTTGGGGCATAGCTTGTGGAAGGCATATGTTCAGCATTTGACGCGGTTTTAGCTGTGAAAGAGCTGTAATAATGATGAGATGTTTAAACATTTACAGTTACCCTTACAGCCTATCTAAGTCTACTGTTGAATACAGGCCAGCTAGAGGCCTCCCCCATAGATTGCCTCATAGTCCCCCCTATATATTAGCCATAGTTGCCACGCTTGACAAGCGGGTTACCGGCCGTGGTTTTTTATTTTAGCCCTTATTAAGAAAACGCTTCCCATCCCATGATTTGTTTCCCTCTGTCGCCTCTTATGACACCCACGGGTTGATATTGAGTAATGGATATTCTTGAACCGCCACTATGCGGTCCAATAGCAAACTGTAAAATTGCAAAGCAATTAAACATAATACAAAAAAATATAAAAAAAATACAAAATTATTTTCAACCTGCGAATGGATGCGTAATATTCGTTTAAAAAAGCTTGCGCTTCTTTGTAAATTTCTTCAGATGTACGTGGCACATCTCCTCGGTTGGGTATATCCATGATGCTTGTTTGACAAACTTTTGCTGTGCATTTTGTGTTCTGAAAAGAAAAATATTACTTTATATTTGATCTGTGGTTAGTGACTACTAAATACGTCAGGCTACGCAGAAACTTTTGCAAAAAAAGTTTGTTTTTCGTATGAGATACCATTTATAATCGCCAACATAGGATACTTTAGTATTGGGTCCTTATATATGAAATTAGCGTTTTGTGGTACTGACCACTTTGATCTGAAATATCTCCTCTTTGTTTAAGAATTCCAAATTTAAATTTATAAATTCATTTAGCTGGTACATTTGAGTTTTGAAAAAAGTAATTCATTTGTTTTTTCCTCATTATTTTCTTCTTTAGCGACGCTTATTACTGCAGAATGTAAAACATGAAATATCGGTATATTTACGAGTACGAGATCTACCGTGGCACCAGTGTTGCAGAAACAGCTCGAAGGATTATTGATGTGTACGGCGCTGGTGTCACAAAAAAAAGACGGTACGTTTTGGTTTTCAAAGTTTTCGTTCTGGAAATTTGGACCTTCAGAACCAACCCGTGGACGGCCGGAGACCAAAGTGGAAAATGAAGAATTAAAAGCTATTGTAGAAGCGGATCCAACACAAAACACTTCAGAGATAGCTGTAGGCCTTGGGGTAAATAATAAAACTGTGTTAACACACTTGAAGCAAATCGGGAAAGTAAAAAAGCTTGAACGATGGGTACCTCATAAATTGAGTGAATTGAACTTACAAACACGCGTCGACTGCTGTGTTACTTTGCTCAACCGTCACAAAAATGAAGGGATTTTAGATCTAATCATTACTTGTGATGAAAAGTACGATAATCGGAAGCGCTCGTGGCAATGGCTGAAACCTGGAGACCCAGCCAAATCCTGCCCTAAACGAAAATTGACTCAGAAAACATTACTTGTGAGTGTTTGGTAGACTAGCGCCAGTGTCGTTCACTACAGGTTTCTAAAATCTGGCCGAAAGATTACGGCACATATCTATTGTCAGAAACTGCAAACCATAAAGATAGAACTAGGTGCTAAACAACCGAGGTTGGTCTATAGAACTAGGCCACTGCAGCTTCACGACAACGCAAGACCACACACTGCATAACAAACAACCACTAAGTTAGATAAGTTACAATTGAAATGTCTGCAACATCCTCCGTACTCCTTGGACCTCGCTCCAACAGATTACCATTTTTTCCGGAATTCGGAAAACTTCCTACAAAGAAAAAAATTCTACTCCTATGCGGCCGTCCGAACCGCTTTCAAAGAGTTTATTGATTCTCGCCCCCATGTTTTTTTTTAGTAAAAGGATCAATGAGCTACCTATGAGATAGCAAAAGTGCATAGATAACAACGGCGCATACTTTGATTAATTATAATATAAAAAATGACTTTATATTCCTCCTGTACAAACGCCAATTCCATATGTAAGGACCTATTATAATCTGAACTGGCCAGTTATATTGGAAATAAGATTATTAAAAAACTACAAATGTTCCAATGTTTTTTTTTTTGGTTTCGTAAAATAATACTTTCTGAATGTTGGCGTTTTGGCGCGAACTTGGCCGCCGGCGGTTTGCGGCTTCTGTATTATTATATATTTATTGGTGTAAAAAAACATTTAGATTCATTTAAGTGATGCGATTTTATCTATTAAATGACTGCGCATATGGACAAGATGTGGAAACGTTGAAACAAGTGCCCCGATGATAAAGTGAATCTCAAGATAATGTGTCTGCAAAGCCTTGAGATACTATCGCCATTTAATTCCTGCTGACACAAGCTCCACTGCCGTACATATTGTGAAGATATTTCTCTATAGGTATTCAGAATTTAAAAGATAATCAAATTTTAAACACTGGTGTCACTGGTCTACAGTATTACGTAACTGTAAATAGATTTTCTTCAACCGCGGGGCCGTTAATTGGTCAACCCACTGGGACCACAGCTAAATAGCCGTGTATCATAGAATGTAGCATGTTTTTTTTGTTTGACCCACTTGTCAACCATGGCGAGTATGGCCGCCTTTATGAGGCAATCTATGGAGGAGGCCTAGATTTAGAAGAGGAATTCGATTTGCTGTAATGAATGGATAAATAAATTTTTTACAAAACTGTAAATTTGTATTACATCTAAAAATTTATCTTATAAAGGCAATAATAGAGCTAATTTTATATACCAAGCAATGTAAAGTTTAACATTATCCGTTAAAATGTCTTTCGATAATTATAATATTTTTTATTACTTTGTTTGTATTCAACAGTAGACTAAAAATGGCTAATTGTGCGCACCGCAAAGTCGGAAAGTCGTGGGTTAGAAACCACCATCCGACTATTGTTAAGAACCGTTTATAATACAAGCTTTTTAAACTTACTTGGAATCGTAAACAGGAGTACCTATTAGTAATATTTTCAGCGTTACTAGTATTATTCAAAAAAATTGTTTTGACACTATCTTAATCTAGTTCAGATTGATTAAAATCATTTTTTTTAAATTGTTGACTGAAATCATTTCAGTGACATAAGCATTTACTTTTATATTAATTCATTTATTACAACGTATCAAACAAAATGAAATTAATATTATGGATTTTATAGAATACAATTTAAAAAAATAAAAAAGAGTTAAATATAAGAAAGCAAAACGTATCAAAGGCCCACAGTTGAACTCAGGCCTTCTCCAATTATCAGGCCTACTCCATATTGCGTTATTTGCCTATGGGGTATTGGATTTTGATTATGCCGCCAATGCACATATATAATATATTGTTGCGCGCCTAAGTTGACGTCATGTAGTGTCAGGGACGAGAGCGGGGGGAGCTTTCCAGAAAATGACATCACTAATCTTTCAACCGACAGCGCCATCTGGTGTCGAAACGAAGAACTAAGCTTCTAGAAGCCGACACTCGAACTTTAGGCGCCTTGTCGATTGGTGCGCGTATTTACTTGAATGTTCTGGATGTTTCAGTGCTAATGTGTATTTAAGGCGATATGAGGATTATGAGGAATAATTGTGTGAGATCGACGTTAAGAAAGGTGTGTTGAAATCTGGACAGGAGGAACTTTTTATGGAAGGTGCGTCACCAGGGACCGTGTACAGCATTAAGAAGATTGTTCTTCCGCCGAGATCGGAAACGATTGTGCCGGTTAGTCTTCCTCGAAACGCTGGGCAAGCTCACCGTTGTGTACTTGTGGAAAGGGTAAACAATGACTTCCATAGAAAGTAGCTCGAACCTTGGTCAGAACCACTGACATCTCAGGAGTACGTGTGCTGAACCTTTGTGACCGGGAACAGATTATAGAAAAAGGCACGCTGGTTGGTACTTGTGAGGAAGTGGATTGGTTACGTCGGTGCCGATATCTATCGAGTGAGACCCCTAGCAAGGATGCATAAACGAGAGTGACCCCACTTTTGGAAGACTGTCGCAGCGTTCTTTCCCCGAACGAAATTGTCAAGACAAAAAAGTTGGTACTCAAGTACGCCGATGTATTCTCATCAAACGATGCTGACATAGGAAAGACTGGCTTAGTTCAACACAAAATAAACACAGGAGAAGTATTGCCTACCCGTCAGCGGCCAAGAAGATTGCCGGTAGCACGTGAAAAGGAAGTAGAAACCATGATTGAAGGAATGGTGAAGGATGGTGTTGTTGAACCTTCCTCTAGTCCATGGTGTTCACCAGTGGTGCTGGTGAAGAAGAAGGATGGCAGCATGCGGTTTTGTGTTGACTACCGCCGTCTGATCGACGTTACGAAGAAGGACAGCTATCCCTTGCCAAGAATTGATAATACGCTGAACATGCTTACAGGAGTAAAGTGTGTTGTCTCAACGGAATGGTGACCAAGAGGTCGTGATAGCGTATTTCAGCAAGTCGTTGTCAAAACCGGAAAAGAACTATTGTGTCACAAGACGCTAATTGCTAGTTATGGTAAAGTCGTTGCAGCATTTTAGCAAATATCTTCTGGGGCAAACATTTCACTTACGAACTGATCATGCTGCACTAAAATGGCTATTGCAGTTCAAAAATCCAGAAGGACAAGTTGCGAGGTGGATTGAACTACTGCAGGAATACGACTTTGAGATCGAAAAACGCAGCTGGAAATCTCATGGCAACGCAGATGCATTGTCAAGAAGACCCTGTCCTGAAGATTGCAGACATTGTACTAGGCAAGAGAGTAAGGAAGTGGTATCCGTGAGGATGCTCAGGGCAGACCACCTCAGCAACGAGTGGAAGGACAGCTTACAACGTGCACAGCAGGAAGATCCGAACATCAAGCTGATTCTGGAATGGATGAAGGCCAGTGCTCCCAAGCCCAAGTGGAGCGACGTCTCAGCGATGAGTTCGACCACTAAAAGCTATTGGGCCCAGTGGGACAGCTTGCTGCTTCAGGATGGAGTTCTGTGCCGTAAATGGGAAAATGTTCGAGGAGACAGCTGTCATTTGGAAATGGTTGTCCCTAAAGCTAAAGTACCGGATGTTCTACAGCTGTACCATAATGATTGTTCAGGAGGCCATCTGGGAGTTAAACGAACTCTACTGAAGATCCGAGAATGGTTTTACTGGGTCCAATGACGACGTCGAGGACTGGTGTCGCAAATGTACAAGTTTTGCGGCTGTAAAGGGACCTCAGACTCGTAGTAGAGGTGCGTTGAAGTTGTACAATGTTGGTGCACCATGGGAGAGAATAGCCATTGACGTGGCGAGGTCGTTTCCGGAGAGTGAAAGCGGTAACAAGTATTTCATGGTTGGGATGGATTACTTGACTAAGTGGCCAGAAGTCTTCGCCATTCCAAATCAAGAAGCTTCAAAAGTTGCAGACAAACTAGTTCATGAAGTCTTCTGTCGTTTTGGAGTACCTTTAGAGATTCACAGCGATCAAGGAAGGAATTTTGAGTCTCAAATATTCCAGGAAACTTGCTGAGTTATGGGTACTCATAAAACAAGAACGACTTCTTATCACCCGCAATCTGATGGAATTGTAGAACGATTTAATCAGACATTGGAGAGGTACCAGCAAAAGTTGTAGACAAT